TCCTTTCCTCTCCTTATGCTCATTTCAAAACTTCTCTAGCGTCTCAATAGTTTCTATTCCCAGGAAGCACTCCCCATCACTGGCTCAGGAGACAGTGGGCTGGCCATACAACGTGCAAAGGATGCAGCAGCAAAGATCTGTGCTGCCACACGTGGGTTACAGAGGCAAAGAGCAGGATGCAGCCAATTACAGAACACAGAATTCATTACTGCTTGTGTCCTTGTCCTCCTCAACACCGAGAGAGATGTGCTGGAAGCCTCTGTATCATAAAACAGAATTTCATGTTCATTTATGTAAATGAATGCAAATTTAATGCAAATTTAATCCGTGGGCAGGTAGGCGAGAGGAATTCAATTGGCCCAAAGGGATCATAGCCTAACTTTGGGGTTTTTTTTTTTTGTTTCATTCTGTATTTATGTTCATTCTTTTGTAATCAGATGCCGCATTTGGTTTGATTTCTCTTTTTTTATTCAAGCTGAACTGTTTCCTACTCAATAAATGCAATTTGCCATATTGATTCTTTTGATATACGTTCTTCTTTGGTACACCAGCATTCATCTTCACTTTTGTACTACAAAACAGCAGCAACCACATCACCGTACCCAAGTTAACACTGTCTCTTTTCTTACTTTTACCTTCAATAGCTTTGACTCAATTCTGAACTTTGAACAGGTTTCCTTCTGAAACAAATGCGAGCTGCTTCCATTATTGCTATTCTGGAGAGTCTCTCATGCTGGCAAATAGCTTTGTATTTACAGCAGTTAATAATGATACCTAGTGTACTACATTACATAGTTGTCTTTTTGTATTAATGCATTTTTCTTCTCTTTCCATGCCCTTGGGCTTTCAGCACACAATTCATTTACGGACAAAGCACTTGTACGGCCCTATTTTGTAAACTATTCAAAACACTGTCAGTGAAAAATGCAACAAGAGAGAGCCCTAGAGGGCCCATCTTGCATTGCACTGAAACTTTGAAATCATTCAGAAACAAAATACGCTCTCTATCTCCTGTGCTTCAGCTCTTATTTAGAATGACAGTAGACAGGGCACAGGGGCCACAGAGGCATAAAATGCTTGCAAAGCAATTATATACCGCAGAGAAATTCACAGTTGATAACTGCAGAAGATTGTTTATTGCCTTGTTTACACCTCCACCCCGAGCGTTATTCTCTGCTGTGTGGAGGACTGAACAAGCCACAGCACTCAAACACATTTGTTTCCCCGCAGAGGTTCTGTAACGCACACGTGTTAAAGATGGCACTCAAAATGCTTTTTGCTCTGCATGCCTCTGGCTGTGCAGGAACGCACCCATCACGTGTGCATGGCAGGTAGGAGGCCCAGTTCCACCACCACACCATGACCGCAGACACCAGAGCCTGCCTGACAGAACTAAGTCACAAGGAACTGATTCCCCCACATATTTGCCCCAGTGCGGTCTGAGGGCTGAACAATATTTTTCAAATATTAGAGAAGAACAGTTTATCTTACCTTTAAGAGCAGCCCACGCAGCATCCACCAGACAGCCCAGGAGAGCACGATCCTCCCCTCCCCCAGCCAACAGGTGCACGCCACCAGCCCTCAGCTCCAGCTGCCCTGCGTGCACACCTGGGCTGCAGTTGCAGTCCTCTGCTCCTTCACCCTGCTTTTCCACTTTCCTGAGGAGAAGTGAACTTTTTTCCTTCCACAACCTTCGCATGGGGGTGGTGACGGCCACAGGGCTCAAGTCTGAGGTCGCGCTGCTGGGCATCTAGGCCTCAACTTCAGCTCAGGGCAGCTGAGCACAGGGCAGCCCAGTCTCTGTCACTTCCCTATTGCCTACTCCAGACAACTTCCCATCCTCTTGAACCTGTTTCATGTAGAGGTCTGGATGGCTGCTAAATGGAATCTTGGCAGAGGCAGGCTCCACCAAGCAATACCTCAGCTCAGCAACACTGGGGTAAATCTGTGGGGTAAACAGTGACAATGCATCTGGTGCCAAAGCCACTAGAAAGACAGCTGCTCAGAAGCCTGCAAGTAGCAAGTGAAGACAAACCCTGTAGCTTGCCAGAATAAAACAAAACAAAAGGTAAAAAACAGTTCTCTAAACAACTAACAATCAAAAAACAAAAATAATTCTATGCCAACAGGAAGAAGATAGTGAAGTGTGTTGGGGGGAAAAAAAAAGAAAAGAAAAAGCGTACACAGGATAAGTACTTGTATAAAGAACAAAAGAAAAAAGTCTGGAAATCTGCAGCAGCTATTCCAGTCACTCTCTGTGCTTTGTGAAAAGATACATCCTTCCTTTTTCTTCGTAACTGCTCCTTTTGGGGGGCTGCTTGTTTTCAGTAGGGTTTTGTTGTTGCTTTTGTTTTTACTTTTTGGGGCACATGGCTAATGTGGATTATCTTGTATTTTATTTTTTCCTCTGAATATAAATATTTTGCCTATGGATACAGCGGAAATACACAGTAATGAATCTATGACTTATTTACCTGCTGGGGGAATGCTAATGAGCGTTGTAGTAATGAAAACAGCTTCATTGGCTTGTAAATGCAAAACAGCAGGGAACTCACTGGAGACTCAACATGCATATGCCAATAAGCTTACATTATTCACAAGTACACAAACCTCCCTAGACACTAGTTTCAGAGCCTTCTTTCATTTCCTGCCTGCTTCACATTTTGAGCCAAGTCGAAGAATATTTTTCTATCTTCCTTAAGCTTCTAAAAGATTTGCAGAAGCCAAATGATCTTAGGGAAAACTTTCCATTCAGATGTAAACTGAGTATTTGTAAGACTAAGCACAACACTTACACATTTCTACTGTTACATTTTCAGGCAGCTGGGAGAAGGGACAAGCTGATACTCAGCCCACTGCCAGCACCAGCTGACCCTAATTTGACTGCAAAGCCAGACAGTGCCAAACACCTGGCACGAGCAGATCAAACACACAGTATGGTAGGCCCTTCCTGATCTCCATACCATATTTTTATTCTAACATCTTTACAGCTTTGTAAAGAAAGGAGGGAGGGCAGAGAGTCCAGATGGTCACTTTGTTGCTCACTCTGCCTTTCAGTTTGAACAAAGATCTGGTTTTCACTGATTGTGGCAAGGAGAAGAGCCACAAGGAGAGAAGAGTGATAGGGGTGCACCTTGATGCTTTCTTAGGTGGCTGTGTGACAGCACCCTCTCCTCATGTGAAACTGTCAGCAGTGATACCTTCTGCCATCAATCTTACCCAGAGCTCCCAAACCAAGTCTTGGTCTCTAACCAGCTGGTAATCCAGTCCCAGTACCATATCTAGAGCCTCAATTCTAGCTGGCTCTGGCTGATGTAAGTAATTAGGCATAATCTAGACTGTGTCAATACTAACCATCTATACACTATTACATTGGCAATTGCTTCATATTATCCAATCTACAAATACAAAGTGTGACTACAATTCATCATAATTGTATCCATTTCCATAAGTATCTGAATGTAAACAACATTTTACCAGAGCACTTCTGCAAGGTGCTCAGACACAGCACTGATAGAGTATGCTGTCGTTCATTATGTTGTTTTCTATTTCTCTCCTTTGCATCAATCCTGACAATATTAACATTCAGAACAACCACTGACCAGTCTCGTTTCAGCACCTTTTGTGGATGTTGCCAAGCTTTGCAGAATGTTAAGAGTAGAACAGAAGGTGTTGTTCCCCACCAAAGGTGATCTTTCAGCCAAAATAGAGATCGGTGTTAGGGCTTTTCCTAAAGAGACAACATTAGATACAAGTCCAGGCATTTGCTATTATGAGATTGGTATGATTTGTTTCACATCCCCCTTCATTATAAATCCATTTGGCATCCATTCTAATAACCAGCATACCCTCAGAAAAGAATTATTTGATGTTCCTGTGGATGTCATATGCGCCTTGTACTTTTAGAGCGCTTCTATTGTAATTCAACGTTAATTATCTTTCCAATTAATGTACTGCATAATGCTGCAATATAAAATGTGTGCATGTTTAAATGAGAAAATTGAGCTCAGTTCCGTCTGCTTTGATCCCATTGTACCTTTATTACAATTCAGGAACAGAATTCTTTTCCACTGGGTTACTGACACCCTGAACACACACAAGGGAGCATTAGGAAGATACATTTATGCTTCTCTTTTCCAAGAAGACCTTGAACTTCTCTTTCTCAAGATAATTTTAATATCCTTTCCTGCTTTATGTTTGTTATTGAGCAGCTCATAAGGGAAATGGAGATGACAGAAGTACTAATAGAGCAGCAGTTACCAGTTACTATATTATAGATACTATAAATACTTACAACTGTTAGAAAATGTAAGTGCAAAACAAGTCACAAAAATAAAATAAAATAAAATAAAATAAAATAAAATAAAATAAAATAAAATAATAAAGTCAAAGCCTGTAGTCAGGGAGTGAAAATTTTCTTCTTTGAAAGGCAAATGAAAGACATATTCTTTAATGTGTTAAAATACCACTTAAAGTTTTACTACAAGTTCCATAAGAACAAGTATAAAGGGGAACACATATATATAATACAAAATATAAATGGAAAATGTAGAACCAAAACTGTTGTCTATGCATATGGCTGAAAGAATAGAATATATGAGTGGTGATTTTCCACAATGAGGAGTTTAATTTTTCTGTTGGGATGTGTTTTGTTGGTTTTTTTTTGTTTGTTTGTTTAGCTGCTGTCAAAGCTGTGAACAATATGGGCTATTGGGTTTGACCTTCAATGCCACCATCTGAAAACATTTCACAGTGCTTTTCCATTCTGAATGTGTTTGAGGAAGGTAAAAATTCTCTCTTTCTCTAGTGGCATGACATTTAGATTTCAGATGTGCTTTCATTTTTAACAGAACAGAAACTAAAACACACAGCTGCAAACAAATCAGCTGCCCCTCACACTAAACAGTCTTATATTCAATATGCTTTAATGCTCATTCTTGGCTGGTAATCACTGACTGAATGTGCTGAGAAGTGGCTGCAGATTATTAATGTAAGAATGTCATCTATAAAATATTACTTTATATGGCTAAGCAACCTTATCTTAAATAATCTTGCTGATCTAAAGGTGTAAAAACATAAAAGTAGTCTATTTAGCATCTTGATACAGAATTTTCTCTTTAACTGTCCTGGAATACTTCAGAAAAATCTTAAATGGAAAAAGATGGCAGTTCAAGCAGGTAGACTGGCTGTTATTGGTCAAGCAATTCATGCAACCTGCTTTACTAGAGATTGGTATTCCTTTTTCAACATCATCTTCAATCAGAATCTTTTGAATTTCCTTTTATATATTTCTTAGCAATGACATTAACCTACTGTTCCAGTAAGGCCTATTACAGCTGAAGCAAATACATAAGGAACACAGCTGTATTTTCCACTTATACAGATCTTGGGATTAGTTCGAAAAGCTTCATCAACTTCACTTGTTTGGTATTAAAACAATTCATTCTGATTTGGTTTGGTTTAGTGTTTGGTTTACTTTGTTCTTCAATCCTCACTCCAACTTCCATGAGCAACTTCTGCCCCGGACAATTCCTTCAATTGCTCAGAGTTAGAACTTCCACTAACATTCATCGTTTTTTATTCCAAAGCAATGAAAAATATTCATGCCAAAAGAGGTGGAAACTTTCTAACTTACAGAGAAAATGATAACAACAACAATAACAAAAAAAAAACATTCTGAAATTTCACTTTAAACCGAAATACTACACGTTTCCAAATCTGAAAATCAAGAAGACACCTAATGATTGGCTTAAAAAATCTCATGGAAGGTCACTTCCAACTTACCGAACACTTTTCCAGTGATTTCAGCAGGTTCAACTACTGCACATAGATTTCACACAAAATCATGGCTAAAAATCAGTTTTAAAAAACAAGAGTCAAGTCGATGACACTATAAACTGTAAGAATGAGGATTGCTTGTGCAAGACAGCACAAACACGTTTGCAAATTACACAGATTTTTTAAAATTTCAGATCAGATACTGTTCTAATTTCTCTTTGATTACATGAAAGTGAACAAAATGCAGCCTAGATGTTAGACTTCTCCTTAACAGAAGCTCAGGCCTTGCAGTACACATCATATTTTAGCTTTGCTCCCAGCTTGGTTCCTTCTAAGCATGCTTTGAATTTGGCATCCATTTCCTGATTCTGAGCTTCAGTGAAAAGATTTTTCCAGTCCCCAACAACACCTGGAATATAAAGAAAAGTAAAACAATAGCCCTGAATGTAAGGACAAGGGAGTATGGTTTAAAACAAATAAAATCATGCCTCTTGTTATATTTCAGGATAATCCACTTTAAAAAAGAATCTGATTAAGGAATACACTCTGCTTCTTTACTTTCAGTGTCCTTAAGAGAATGTGAACAGAACTGGGACATGGGAAGCTACTGGTCTGCCTTTTGCCTTACGCTGTTGCAGATGCCTGTAAAAGATGATCAGCAGCTATGAAAAGAACTCAAAAAATTCAAACATGTGGCTTTTAACTGCGAGAGACTAGTGTGCACAACCAGACACTACCCTAAGCTGCAGTCTACTTGTGATCTAGATTCTGGGGGAGTTCACTGCTGAGGTATTCTGGGTCTACAGCTCTAGTATTAGCCACAGCTAAAAGGCATGGCTCAACCTGTAGAGCATCTGGATTCAACAAATTGAGTGAGGTTCCTAGGCAACCACAAAGGTTATTTAGGAAATCCAAGAAGAAAAATCTTTGGAGATACTTTGCAGATCAAGTGCCAGGCTAACCTCAGTAGTCACAGAAGCCAAAACAAAACTCTTTGCTTTAATTGGTGCTTGCTGCAAACCGTGACCGAAGGGTGTGCTACCTGGAAGGCACTTCTGCTCACCACTTTATGCAGGGCTTTTCTGAATGATACTGGTACTTATGATGAAATCAGTTGATAGCATTCTGAAGCACCAGCAGTGTTTCCTAAGTTCCGAACATTATGCATAAAAATTAATCACTTACTCATCCAAATCCATTTGTCCAAGATGCAGCTACCTTTCACAAATCTTGCAAAATATGCTGCTTGTTTGCTGTAAACAAATTTACCTTTGCGGAAAAGAACTGTGCCAACAGCACCATAAGTCTCCTGAGCCTTGTTCTTCACTGCCTGGAAAGTAGCCCTGTCTGCGATGGACTGGATCTGCTCTGTTGTTGGGAAGAATCCAAAGAATTCTGCTATTTGCTTTACACCAGAAGCCAGATTCTGAAAACAATGCAGCGAGAGGGGATCATATTATGTGCTTCCTCTAAAAAAGGACCTACCCACTCGGGACACATATGGCCATCACCTACTAACACCATCTTCCTTCACAGTACATTTTGTATGTTACACTGGAGCTCAGTTTTTATATAGCCAGATTCAATTTGTTCCTGAATGGATACTTGATTTTCCTTTCAGAAACCTGTGCTATTTGCTTCTAATTTCAGCAGTTTTCAGGAAATGGGCTCAGATGTGTCTTGACCATAAGTACATAGTGACTGCTTTACCTCTTTCAGGTCTTCATACATTACAATCATAGTGTTCTCATCGTCAGTGTGTTTGTTCCAGGTGACTGCATGGTCAAAATAAGATCCCCAGCCAACTGTGAAGAGAAAAAAGCATCAGTGTGATCCCTTTTTTACTGCTGTGTACTTATTTCCCTCTGACTGAAGGATTGCTCTCTGTGGCTCACCAGTTACGTCCATGAAGAAAAACAGAACAGTCTGTCCTTTAGGTGGTACCATACTGCATATCAGAACAACAGAGACTTCCATTGGACTTTTGTAGGTAGGTGGCTTCCACACAGGAACATGTACTTCCCATGTGCTTCCCCTCCATTTCTGTATTGTCATTAAAGATATCTCTTAAAAGCCAAAGCTAAACATCATTCTAAATCTAAAATCTAAGTTCCTTACAGGGTTTTTGGCCTCATATATGGGAACACAACAAACAGTCATTCCATTACCATCATTTCAGATCTGTAGCACTGCCTCCATTACTAACTGACAGGATTTTATCCCAGTGCCATTATCAAGCTGCCAGGCAACTCCCCTTGCTTGCAAGAGCAAAATATCCAGAAGCAAAGTATCTTTTGGGCTTTCTCCCCATTTTTGCATTTAGCTATCTCCTTTATCATGAGGTATGGCCACCAGTGAATTAATTATGACACAGCTGTTTTCCCACTAGTCCCATTTAGATGTTTTCAAATATTTTCTTCTGTTGTTTCTTCAGCTACATTCAGTAACTATTACCATACCTTTCCCATTCATGAACTCTGAGAAGAACTCATCCCAGGAGCTGTAACTGGGGACACTTGGCACATTCTTGTGGAAATGAAAAAATGAAACAGCTGTATCTTTAGGGTTTCGAAACAACACGAGTATCTGGAGCGGGAGAAAGAGATCAACAACTTTAGATCATTTATTTCCCCTGGCAACCAAAATGACAGTAAAACCAAACATTCTGCAATCAATAACTTAGCAGGGACCACAAAATATTTTCATTGTTAGGTAAGGCATAGAGAACAAGTTTATAACATGTCATAATAAAGGCCTTGTAACCACTCCTAAGATTTGCCTATCGCCCTGAAGCAACTGTAGGAAGGAGCAGTTGGAAAAACTGTAGTACTGTTACGGAAAACTACCTCTTAACTACCCAAAACCTGGGAAAGGTGAAAGAACCATTCACTGGTAGGAAAAGCTCCATTTCATTCTTCTTCAGGAAACCACAGCTGCTACAATCATCTCCCGTTTTTCAAAGCATGGCAATAATGTATTTGAAATCCTAAGAAACTGCAATCCTTGGAGACAGTAAACACTTCTGTGAACAAGCTATACATAAAACAGGAAAAAAGTACTCATAGAACATGGCTAAAACCCGCATTCCTTAACTAGTTCCTCCCTTCATTTGTGGTACATTTTCTAACTGCTATGTACTTAACTGCTATGTACCTTTCGTTGTTCAGTGACTTGGAACCAGAAATATTGAAATTTTTTGAATGTAATTCTACATGGAGACAGTCAGGGTATCAAGAGGTACTGCTGTCACATTAATTCTTACCATGGCTATATGTAGACAAGAGTAGTATAGAAGAGAAAAGCATGACACTTCAACCATTTTTTGAGCACCATGACAGCTTCTAGATCTGCTCTTTGTTTATGTACCACTAATGCTTTTGTGCTAAGACAGTCCAGAGGTCATATAATCACAGAACGGCCTGGGTTGAAAAGGACCACAATGGTCATCGAGTTTCAACCCCCCTGCTATATGCAGGGCCACCAACCACCAGACCAGGCTGCTCAGAGCCACATCCAGCCTGGCCTTGGATGCCTCCAGGGATGGGGCATCCACAACCTCCCTGGGCAACTTGTTCCAGTTCCAAGTTCTTTTCCCTCAATCACATTTGCTAGGGTGCGAGAAAAGGATGTAGCCCCAAATGATATTCATGCATGTTAGTGCTGCCAATGAAATTAGGCTTGTTCTTAGGAAGAGGAAGGATTTAAAAAAAAAAAAAAAAAAGAAAAGAAAAAAGTCCACCTTGGCTTTGTTCTTGAAAATAGACTTTGGGAGGAAATCATAATTCAGATGTGTTGCCAAAATCCTTGGAGATGGAATCTGCTTCATCCTCTTTAGAAATAAACAGAACAATAAGTGAGAACAGGTTTATTACATGGGTGCAGCAACAATCTGCCAGCACGAGTCGCCTGCGTGAAGCAGCTCCTAATCAAAAGGCATTACTCATCCAAGATTATCCTTTTTTACCCTCTCAGGAGAAATATCTTTACTTGCTACATGACTTCATTTTAATAACTTGCTTGCGGGGGTGCAGGAGAGAAAACTACAGACTTGAAGTAGGTTCTTTTCACTAACCTGATATTTATCTGGATCTCCACATTCAATAAATGGTAGCTCTGTGCTTACAGGTTTACTCTGAATAGTTGTAAATATCAAATCATTTAAAATCTGGATAAGCCAATTCACACCTGGATCAAGAAACCCAGAGAACAAAACAAAACATATGAGAGGTTTATGTAAGATCTCAGAGCCTTCTCATTACATGGCTTAATTCAGCATAATAGACATCAAATTACATTTGTAATTTGTATGTATACATACAAATAGACATCAAATGATGACATAATAGTCATCAAATTACAGATTCAAATAAAATTAAAGCTCTCAAATGACTATAAACAAATTAATGTTTTCTGTTAACAAGATCCTCAACAGCTTCTTAACTGTGACCTTCTTGGCTCACTTACAAATGATATGTGGAAAGCATCAGGAGCAGAATTGACACAACAATATGTTGTGTATTTTTAATATATCATAAAACAATCAGTGACAGACAATAAAGGCAGCTTTCCTGTCATTCACAGAGAAACACTTGGAAAGTGTCCAGGTAGGAGTAGGAAGGAACAAACAAGGAGTTTCATTCATCTGTCAGAATTTTCTGCCCCTCTCCCTGCACTGAGTCGAGGATGAAACAGAGCCATCTATTCAGCATTACCAGCAGCACTTGTCCCATGCTGTGCCTGTTGCTTTCTCCACAAAAAGACTGTCAGAAGAAGGGTTAGAGGAGCTGCAGCCCAACAGACGCCTGCATCTTTCCCATTGGAACCCACCTTGCAGTGAAGACCTACCATGCATGATGGGCTGGGTGCCAGACCTGCTGGAGCAGTACACTTTCCTCCATGCTCCATGCCCTCCTGCAGCTGCTTTGTGTTGCCCTCAGGTTTTCCAGAACTCTATGGATGCCCCAATGACAGCTGATGGGACAGACTGAGGGAACGGTGCGTTCACCACAGACCACAGCATCCTCCAAAGACCTTGTGGAGATGCACTTGCAGGGCTTCCCACTGAGGCCATGGAGCTGTGGCTGCAGAGAGCTGCCTCAGTCTCCTGTGTGTCACCAGTCCCCCATGAATGCAGCTGACAGAGACACTAGCACACACACAGAATGCAAACAGCTTTAACCTCACGCTTTCAGCTTTAACCTCAACTTCAGAAAGTTATTCCCAGAAAGCAGGTCTTCCACCCTGTGTTACATGAAATGGCTCAGGATTGTGTCATACTTATACAATAATGTGTATGCAATTTGTACACATCATACAGTGCTTTGTAATACATCTACATATATAGAAATCGTAAGGTATTTGGTGTATAAATAAAAGACATTTAATTATGCATGAGATTTAAAAGCTGATTTTATTTTAACAAAAATCTACAACTGATAAACCTAAAATGCCTGGCCTCTAAATCCCCTCTTGGCTTCTCAACCATCCTCAGTACCACTTCACAAATGTGTCTCTCTGCATCAGTCTGAGTTTTCCTCCCCACTGCACACACGAGATCTTGGGGAAATGCTACATATAGCAGGACTTTATTGTAACTTATCCTTCATAATCCTCAGTAAGTAAAAGGAATGAGGACAACATTAAAGTTTTGAAGGGCCATCAAACATATTCATAATCATCTAAAAATTACGTATGACCATAGAGTTTGAGCCTGGCATGGAAAATATCTGTGAAGCTGGCAGAGGAAGCCAGCCATCAGACCTCAGATGCAGGCAGTACTACAACTCCACATCTGCCAAACTCTATGAGAAATCAAAGCCAAGCTCTGCCTATCTTTATAAGTTCCAGCCAAACCCTGAACACAAAGCCAACAGAATCAAAGTCAAAAACAAAGATGTGTATTTCACTTGTTGTGTCACCTTCCTCCTTTTGTACTTTTGTGTGCCCTCTCCTTCTCTTGGCTCAATGTTCTGTATCACAGCTAGCATATATTTACTACAAACACCACAGGCTTACTTCTTCAGTGCCTAAATGCACGACAGTTTATTTTCAGATCAGAACTGAGCAAAACAAAACCATAGGAACTGACCATGCTCTTCACTTTGCTGCGTGAGATTTTGGCTAAGGACTTTCCTATTAGAGCTCAATGTGAGCACATCAGCTGTGTTAGTGCATTGAATTCCTCCTCTGGACCCACGCTCTCCCAGCAGCCCCTAGCTTCTGTTACTTGCGTCTCAAAGTAGAAACATAGGCTTAGAAAGAGCTTCCTTCGTTATCAAAACCTGGCCCTTCTTAGTAAGTAAATGTGTCATACAAGGCACAACACTGATCAAAATCAGCTAGCTGGTAGGTTGGTTGGTTGTAGAGTAGTTTTTTTTTTACCCTCACCACTTCTATTGCACCTTCCTTCCTTTCTGCTGACCTCTGACTACAAGATTTTTAATTCCAGTATGCTATAATATAATATTATAATATATATATAATAACATATAGAATAATATATTATAACATATAATATATATATATCATAATGCAATTACAAAGCAAAATACAATAATGATAGTAAATACAATGCCAAGAAAATTATTATTATCTTACAAGTACAGATGTTGCACACTGCCACATCCTACTCCTTGTGAGTCTAATGCGTAAAACTTCATTGCTTCTGCACATTACACTACATTATATTACTAATATTCTTTTCAGAATGCAATTTATCACACTGGCAGAGGTATCTTGCTCCACTGATAAATAAAAACTATAGTCTTTACTCTCACAAAATAGTTTGATTGCTAAAACATTTCATCCTTTCAGAAGCATACATCATGCTAAAAACCAGTGGAACAGATCACATAATTAAATAAAGCAGGGAAAAAACCTGCTGCCTCTGCTTGTAACAGAAATGCCCATAATCCTCACACAACGTAAAACCATAATTAATTTGTTATTTTCCTTTTTACTGTGTCAGCTAATTAGTTACTGTACCATAGACAACAGCAAGTAATTTATAATGTATTCACCGCATCTGGGGTAAGACACCAGCACCATATCATCTCTTCTGGCTTCCAGGTTCTCCAGGGCTTGGAATGTCTCTGCGCTGCACACTGTGACTGGATAAGGAGTCCCCCGGTAGGAGAACAGCATGTCCTTCAGGGTAAACCCTTCAGACTTTGCCAGTGCTTTATTTATTTCATCTACAAAAGCTTTATTCTCCTCAGCCATGGTTACCAACTTCTGCTGGGACATGAAATTGCTGGTCTAATGCCATTAAGTGCCTTTAAATACACATTTTTAAGGGGCGGGCCAGAAATTGTTGGTGATATTTCCGCATCTCCCCTTCCCCCCACCAAAAAAAAAAACCCAAAACAAACAAATCTAAGAATTTGATCATTTCTTTCCCTTCTCCCTTCTCACCTTCCTGAAAATGAAAACAGGGTTGATGTTGCCTATCCATAATCTGCAGAGGAGAAATTACTCCAGGAACAAATCCCATTGAGAACAAGCAGAGCAAGTAATACTAGTGAGCTCAGCCACCAGAGAATACTGAACTGGGAAAGAATTGCTCTGTAAGAAAATGCAGCAAGATATTAAATCCAATCTTACATAACATTAATACAAAAAAAAGCCTCAGAAAAAAAATGTCCCTAATAAAAATTTAAGAATTTAAAAAAGACAGATTTTGGCAATAAACTCAACCTCAGATAAGAGAAACAGGTAACAAGTAACAAAAAACAATGAAATCAAAACCATAGAACAGAAAGAACAATACAGAGAAGGAAGCGGTGCTACCATTTTGGTTTCAAAATATCATTGTAGCTACCCACTGCCTTTAAATGTATTTTTTATGTTAAAAAGGACAATTAAACACTGAGTTATGGTGTAGTGCAGGCTTTTACAACACACTCATTAAAAAAGGACTCATTAAAAAGGGACAAGGGTCCCTTTTTAATGATTGGCAGTCTTATATATCTGCCACGATTTTCCCTGCTGGGATGTGCAGAGGGGCACAGGGCTGGTTCAGGAGGGGCAGAGCAGCTCCTCCGTTGGGCTGAGCAGCATGAGAGTTGAACTGAAGAAAATTAATTTCCTTTTGCAACATTACCCATACAGTTGACCAATGGAAGCCACTTGGTATAATCTGTTTTCAATTTCAGCAAAATACTGTTTCTCACAGCACCCTATTGGACAAAATGGGGAGGACACACCTAGACTAAAGTGTAACGTGATGGGTGAACAACTGGCTAATAGGTTGGCTCAAAGGATTGTAATAATCAGGATACATTGGGCTGACAGGCAGTCACTGGTGGGCTTCCTCAAGGCTTCTTTTTAGGGGCAGTTCTCTTCAGTGAGTTGGATAAAGGACTTGAAGGTATACTAAGGAAGTTTGAAGATGACACCAAACTGCGGCAGAGAGGCCTTGCAAAGAGGTCTTGACAGAGGAATAGAATGCTGACTCGTATTCAGCTTGTCACCAACCACAGGACCTTTAACAAGAGCAAGTGCAAAGTTCTACACCTTGGATGGGACAACCTTGGATCTATGGACAAGTTGGGGGATGAGAGTTTGGAGAGCAGTCCCACAGAAGGGGATGAGGGGGGAGGTTCTGGTTGGTGACGAGCAGAATACGAGTCAGCAGCGTGCTCTGTCAGCCCCAAAGAGCCAACCGCACCCTGCAGTGTACCAGCACAGCACTGCCACCAGGCGAGGAAAGGGCAAATCTTGTCCCGCTCTGCACCCTGAGGCCTCACCTCCAGCACTGACGGCTGTTTTAGGTGCCACGCTGCAAGAAAGACATAAACCTAGTAGAGTGTCCAAAAGGAACGCCACACAGATGGTGAAGGGTCTGGAGCAGAAGATGTCTGAGGAGCACCTGAGGCTCCTGGGTTTGTTCAGCCCAGAGCAGAGCAGCTGAGGGGGGGCCCGATGGCGGCTGCAGCTCCTCACAGGGAGCGGAGGGGCAGCGCTGAGCTCTGCTCTGTGTGACAGCGACAGGGCCCGAGGGAACGGCATGGAGCTGCGTCAGGAGAGGGGCGGCTGGGAGTCAGGGACAGGATCTGCACCAGAGGGCGGTGGGCACGGAACGGGCTGCCCAGGGCTGCGGCCCCGAGTGTCAGAGTACAAGCAGTGTTTGGACAACGCTCTCGAACACGGGGTTTAGATTTGGTGCCATGCTGTGTTAAGCCAGGGATTGGACTCCACGGTCCTTGTGGATCCCTTCTGACTGAGGCCGTTCAAACACACCGCTGCCACGCCGCATAGCTCACCGACCACCCGTCCAGCCGCAGGCAGCAGGAGCCGATGCAGACATACCGCAGCCCCAAGAGGCGGGGCGGGCTGACTGCGCCTGCGCAGCCTGTACAGGCGCTACCGGAAGCGCGGCCCGGGGGCTGCGGCGGCCATGAGGAGGCGGCTGGTGGCGGGGCTGGTGGCGTTGGAGGTGGCTGGGCTGGGCGGCGCGCTGCTGCTCTACCGCGCCATGGACCGCAGCAGAGGTGCGGCGGGGCGGCCGGGCGGGGTGCCACAGGAGCCGGGGATTGCGCTGCACCACGGCCGCGTTTATTCTGCACGAGTTTGGGTTTTTGGCGGCAAAGATCAGCGCAAGTTACCTGATGCCGGAACGGGGTCTTGTGCTTTGTCGTAGTTAAGGGGAAGTAGCCGTCAGATGAGGCAGGATTCGATGAATCCTGTTTCAGGCATCTGCTCTGCAGCCCCTGGAGGGATCCTCAGGTTCACCGCTCGGTCTCACAGGCGTTGTGATTTGACGTTTTCCAGATGAGAGCAGACCCAGCTGGCAAGTGCAGAGGGCAGCCAGGGTCAGCTTCCAATGACGTAATGTCAGTCCCTGAAGCCTCTCATGCTTCTGATTCACTGCTTAGGGAACACACAAGTAAGCCGTGCACCAGCTTAGTTATACAAAGAAGCTCCATCTGTGCTGCAGCCGCCTCGTTTTGTACTCGGGGCCCTGCAAGACTCAGCAGTGCTGTGACAGGCCTGCGCCCCTGCAGATGGCAGCCAGCCCTGCCACCCTAGGGTCAGCACGATCCCAAAGGCACCTGCTGCTGGAGCTGTGAGGCACCAGCTCCCCGTTTCAGCAGGAGAGTCATTTTAGACCGACTTCCAATGGAACACCACCTACCCCTTTCTGTACTGTATCTTCATTCTGACACGCCCTTGTAGAAGTTCTTCAGTTGTAGTTCTGCATGGTGTGGTGAGCTCAGGCATTGGCTTGCTGTGCTCAGAGTAAGGCTTTCCTCACTTTGCACTAACAGTAGCGCTTAGAGGTTCAACAGACTGCTGCAAATTGTTACAACAGCATTAAACTGTCATTTCATGATTTTCTGTTGGTTCAGTCAAGCTGCCTAAAGGATTCACTGAACACCGAGGCCGTGTCAGGAATCAGTTTCCTAATAAGTCCTTTGAAAGTCAGTCTGCTGTGCTTCATTCAGCTTTGTTTGAGTGTGCAGCTTGTAATGCAGTTACCACTAGTGTGAGGAAGCTCAGAAAACACTCATCTGATTGAGCTGCACACAGGAGGAGCCTCAATATGTTTCTGATATGATTTAAAAAAATGTGGGTCACAGTATTCAACAACCTGTAACAAAGAGCTAGGACAAATTTACGTAAAAGTAATGAGAAAAATAGAGTATTTAATTATTTCTCTTAAAATATCATAAGTAACTATGACTTATCTTTCCTGTCAGACTTCAGATACACAATGCAGAAGAGGTTTCCATCAATTCTGGAAGGTAGGTTTGTGTTTGCTGGCTTTGGAAAGATGGCTGAAGCTTCTCTTGCATCTTACATATAAAACAGATTGTATCATTGCTTAAAACTACACCAGGAGAGATTGCAGAAGTGTTTGTTGTTACATGTAGGTGTGTCTGAAGTGCTGGATGGAGACCTCAGAACTGCAGGGCTCTATGTCCAAACAGACTAGCCATAAAATCACTAAGTTACAGCTAACAGATTTTCCTGTTTTTCAGTTTATTACAAATCCAATGAGTGGTCTGGAATTCACGGCATAAGGGAGAATGACCAAATGGCATGGTTAAGCAGCAAGAATTAAAGTAAGATAGGCTGATAAAGAGAATAATTATTTTGCCGTAGTTATTGTAAAAATGCCTACGTTATGATGCCCAGCTCATCTTTTTGATTTCTTGCCTCTGTTCTTCTTTTTCAGCCCTGTGTGCCTGAACTGTTTTTTCCTTTTGATGATGCTTTTCACATCCCTGTTGTGAAGCCACCTGTCACGCTCTACTTCCCACTTGATTTGCTTGATATCTGGAAAGAGGAAAGATGGAAGATAAGAAGTCAGCAGCTGATGGACATCATGTGGAATACAGATAAATCATGTAGAAGTTAAGACTTGACTAATTTATTTATAAACATTAATAAAATGCAAACTGCTGATTTTTTTGACACCAGAGAACTGTTTTCTTCACAATACACACCCTACTATCTCAGAATCTTGGGGTTTAAGACCGCTCTTCACATTGATTTTCTTTTTTTTTTTTTAATGCTACATGCTCTCCTGTACAAGTATGCAGTACATTACTATTTTTTTCAGGTGACATCAGAAAGGCTTGTAAAGGCCCTACAAAGGACTGACGATTCAAAGAAATACACATTTAATTCATCAGCATTATTTCTGACAAATTATTTTTGCTTCATCAATATCATGAGGAAGCATTTACAGTAGGTAGGTAAAGATAGCCATGCTATCTTCCCTTCATAAGGATCCACGATACTCTTGATGAGAGCAAAATTCATATGAAAGCTTGACAGATGGCACACCGTCAGTTTTTATTTACAGTGTGAAAGGAGGAAAAAAAAGCCACCCCCTTTCTGAAGCCTTATTAAGTCCAATTGTTACAATTAATATTAGCATTGCACATCTTTTAACTGAAAAATACTACATCATCTCTTAATTACATTGAGCTGCTTTCCCTCCTGTGTTCTCGCTAACCTTATTTGTACCACACTTAGAATATATCACAAAATTTCAAGTACAGAATCTAAAGCAGAAGAGCACTACAACTACCTGCTCTCCATAGCATGTACTTACTTGCATTGTCTCTGTTAGCCATGGCATTCATTCCAATATTGTCAAACTTGGACCCAGCATTTTCATCCAGCAGATAGCCAATCTTTAAAAAACAGAAATTTTCTTATTTTAGTACAAAGAAGCATGTAAAATGCTTGAACTTTTTTTATTTTCCTGAGCACTGATCTAACGTACCTCTTCAGCAGCTGCCAGTATTTTGGCATCTTTGAGTTTTCTCTTCTTTCCTTGGCTGGATCCTTCAAACAAGAAGTACGATTCTTATGAGACAGAAATTCAAATTCACAATAACACTACTACAGAGGTGTTTTAAATAGTTTTGTTGGTTCTGTTTGTTTGTTTTGTTTTTCAAATTTAATAAGATCACCTAAAATAATCTGTTAGAAAACTTTATTCACCACCTCTCCTAAAAAGAAGGGGGGAAAAAGTTTTCCAGCAGGAACAAAATAGGATAAATCTACACAGTGTGTATTAGTAGCAAATGCAAACCCACAAGCTACTCTGCCAGTACAATTCCATTCTTCAAATACACTTCCTTTGATCCCCAGCCCTTCAAGAGCAGATCATCATTCTGAATTAGGCCACACTGTTTAGAGGACAAGGCTAAAACCAATTCCTTTTCTTCTATGGTTTATTGAAATCTGAATCATGATCCACAAATCTACTGTACTGGACTCTTCTTGTTACAATTTTTCCCATTTGTATTAGGCCTTCTCAAATTGAAATACTTCCTTACCTTCACGTGATCCCATAAAATTCATATCTTTCTTTCTCTTGGTCTTTTTACTGATAGACTTCGATTGATTGTCGTTGTTAAGGTCTGACAGAAAAAAATAATAAATGAGTTCCTCATTCCCACACCTTCTGCATGTACTTAAAGCACACTATACAAATATCTATTTAGACATAAATCTATCTCAATGATCTGAATCTTCAAAAATAAGTTTAAAACACAGTGGACACAACTGAACCTTGATTTCTTAAAGCCATAAAATTAAGAACTGCTCAGTGATGTGCCTTTATGCTTTTTTTCCCAAAGCACCAAATACTAATGAGCTGAGAAACTAAGATATTTAACATATGAAGGCTAGGACATTATGTAAACTTTGTCTGCTTAAGTATGATGAAATAACAGTCTTATTAAAGATTCATGTATTAATAGCTGTATGAGTAATTTATCTGCTCAATCTTCAATCATAGTCCTGTGACCTTAAGTTTTTACTTGAAATACTCCATTAATTTGTGCTTTGCCAGCTACAGAAAGTACATTCTGAGTAACCCATGCTTTTCAGCTGAAAAGACAGTAAAGGCATAAAGGTGCAGCAATCAATTACTGTTACAGAGGTAATAAAAATAGAGGTGCACAGCTGCATTGGAAGAGTAAGCTGTTATTTGCAAGCCAGTAATGTAGAAAGTTACCTCATCTAAAAATTAACATTAACTAACCTAAAGAAATAAAAATGTTAGGAACAGATTTTTTTTCCTCTTAGAAATCTTTTAATATGCTTGTGTACTGTAGCCATTACAAAGCTGCTTTTGTTCTGCCTATGCTTTTAGCATCAAGAAAACACGTCTTGTATGCAAACTGTTGAACTCCATGTATAACTCCCCTTTTCATCTCATAGACTGTGCAGAAAATGTTGTTTTTCTGAATTCTTGATCGACAAGAGAAACATTTCTTCACTTAAAATCCAAACCTTACACCCAGATAACCAAATATTAAATATGTAATTGCAAATTAAATAATCTTTTTTTAAAAGATTTTTCTTTTTGTTTTTGTTGTTGTTTTTATATTAAATGTTACTTCACCTGGGCTGTTATCATCATCAGACACATCCATAAATACGCCTCCTTCCTCATTCATATCCTCTTCAAAATCATCTTCCTCCATGCTTCCTAAGGAGACTTCCTCATCATCCAGGTCACTGAACTCATCTTCATCATCAGAATCCTCCCAGTCAGCACCGGATTCCTCACTTCTGCTTTTCTTATTTCCATTGCTTTTCTTTTTTATATTACTAAAAAAATACATAACAGTTTAACACATCGTATGGTAGAATACAGTTTGCCAGATAACATGCATCTACCTCTAAACAATATGGTAGAAAAGTAAAACATCACAGCAAATTCTGTAAATACAGTAATAATAAATATAATAAATGTATTAAGCACACAGGTATGCAACTCTGTTAGAAACTAAGTAATGTTAAGAAGTTTTGGAGACAATCCTATTCTAAAATAAACTGAGTCTTTCCAGGCGTCTTTGCTCCTTATCAGAAAGTCTTTTCCATAAAAACCACACAGTATGTTTGATCTCTGTATTAGAACCTCTTCTTTTTTTCCACTGAAGGCAAATGCAGCTCTTTAGATGCTAGATGCTTAGTTGTTGTTTTAAGTCTCCTCTTATTTTTTACTCCCACCCACCTGGATCACAGAAACATTTCAGTAAGAGTCTAAACTTTAATTCTTATTTCAATTTTTAAAAAGAATATTCTGTGCTGATTTTAAGGGTATACTGAAGATACTTTAACTAAAAGAAGAGGTTAATCAATCGCTAATTAACTGCTGACTTCCTGAAAACTGAGCTCTGTGATTCTGGACCCCAGTTTATTCCGTGAGTTAGGTCCAGTTACAACCAGTCCTGACAGCAGCAGCACAACTATGCCTCATTGTTTCCTTTTGTACATGGTAATTCCCAAACAGAAACCAGAGACAATAAAAACCAAGTAGGATTACACCCTGTTTACCGGGTTACTGCATTGTACAGATAAAATACTACAGGTCTCATGCTTCAAGCAAAGGTACTGTAAGCACCATTGAATCACAATGCTCCATTCTGAGGGATGCAGAAAAGCTGCACTACCCAGCACTCAACTGCCACTGCCTTTTTCTTTTTTTTTTTGCTGCAAAAATGATAAGCTGAAAGATGAAAGAACTGGTTTGAAGTCTTACCCAGCAAAATCAAGGTCATCCTGGCTAACACCAGTGGCACTATCATCAGCTTCAAATGCATCTGGGGAAAAAAATACTTTTTACTACAAAGTGTCAAACAAGAATTATGAAGTTATTGCAAAATATTAAGTGTTGTTTTCCTGAACAACTTAATATGATCTGCATCTATAGATCTGATATTAAACGGCTCATACTCCCACAGAAAAATAATCCACAAAACAGTTACTTTAAAATAACTGGACTTTTTCTGAAGAAAAATAAATAAAACAAAATGAAAATAGATAGACAGATCTCTCTTTAAATAATAATGACAGTTTTCTTTTTCCAGAATATAATTTCTGATCGGCATCAGACAATATCCAAGTCAGACAAAAACTCAATTAGGATACTGCAAATGAATGTCCTGACAGCTGATCTGTTGGCTAATTTCCAGGTTAGAAGTTTGCCAAGGCCCTAACTGAACAACTCATCTCATGAGAGATGTTAGGAATTATGACATTATACAGAATCTCTAAGGAAGGCTTAAAAAGATCAGGCAGTAAAAAAAGAACAGGCTACAAGAAAAAGTTATTTCATTCTCAGGCTACATTTGGAAACGAACAAAGAAGCAGCAACAGATCTGTGCCAGTTTGTTTACACTCAAACACCCAAAATTTCCTACTTGAGCTAAACAAGCTGTATTGTTAACTACAGTAGCATAAAACAGGAATTGAAAAGTCAATTTTCTTCCACTTTCACATTCATGTACCAGATTATTTTATACAAAAAGGATAAATTAATAATTTGTAAAAGCAGGAAATACCAGGATAGTTTCTACAAGGAAAAATGCAACTTTACCCAATGCTCTTTCAAACTCATCATCATCCACATCTTCTACACTTTCTTCATCCTCCTGGCGCCTGTGTTTCTCTCTTGTTTTATCAAACTTTGTATAAAATCTGAAACAGCATATTACTTTCAGGCACAAAGCTACAGGTAATTCTTTATAAGATTAAAAAAAAAAAGTAAAAAAATAACCCAGCAGATGGATTCAACTGTGTATTTTTCCAATTGAAAAGAGTAAGTTAACTATTTCAAACACATCCCAGAACAGAGATTTGTATTTTCTTTCTTTTTCGAGCTGTAAGTCACCACTGTAAGATTAAAACAATACAATTTCACAGAGGTGCTAGAAATCATTTTGAACATAGTGAATTTATAAAAGGGCAAAAGGAAGATGTGTAGATCTGGAAAGTGTCGACTAAGTTCAACTTAGAATCATAGAATGGCTCAGGTTGGAAAAGGCCTTAAAGATCATCAAGTCCAACCACAACCTAACCATACCATGCTGACTCTAACAACCCCCCACTAAATCATGTCCCTGAGCACCACATCCAAATGGTTTTTAAACACATCCAGGGATGGT